TTCACACCCTTCAAATAAACCAGTGGCTATTTGGACCTATTAGGTCAGTAAATTGTGAGTTATTGTTCGAATTATTTTAACATCAACCACGTGACTTACATACCAACGGGCATTTTCCATCCAACCCTGTCCTGGGAAATTCTTTCCAGCTCTTTCCACTTGTTATTCATCCTTTCCATATCTGCTTCTATTTCCCGACGTAATGTGTTCTTTGGCCTTCCTCTTTTCCGCTTCCCTTCAGGATTCTAAGTAAGGGTTTGCCTCGTGATGAAGTTTGATGATTTGCGTAATGTATATCCTATCCATTTCCATCGTCTTTTCCTAATTTCTTCTTCAGCTGGAGGCTGGTTGGTTCTCTCCCACAGAGGGCTGTTGCTGATGGTATCCGGCCAATGAATGTTGAGTATCTTGCGTAGACAACTATTTATAAGTACTTGTACCATTTTGATGATGGTTTTAGTAGTTCTCCAAGTTTCAGCTCCGTTCGTACTAAAGATTCTGACTTTGACGTTGGCTGACAGTAACTGTAATTTCTATATGTCCTTCAACTATAGAAATGTTGCCCCAGCTTTGGTAATCTATGCCTTCACATCTTCATGAGATTTTTTAACTTCTCACTCCATACTGTCGAAGAAGGTTTCATCAGATTCTCCTATCTACACTAACGAATGTCTTCACATGGTGAAGGAATCTGATGTATGGTGACGAGCTCGATTAAATTTATTACTCAGTGATGATCCGTATTGTCGCGATTCTGTCTGTGCACGATCGGTTCTTAAGGAATCCGGTCTGTTGATCCCGAAACTGTGTGTCTATTCAATCTTCAAACCGATTAAGCAACACTGTTCAAAATTTTTTCTTGTAACGATGGTAGTATGATTCCTCCGTAGTTTTCACAATTGCCCGAATTGCCTTTCTTTGGGATCTTGAAAAGGTGTCCTTCATTCCAGTCTGTCAAAGGCACTGGTTCTTCCGCCAAGATCTTCCTGAGAAGAACAGGGAACATATTCACAGTTACCTCTGTCTGATTTCATTGCTTTAGATGGTATATTGTCGACTCTCACTACTTTCCAACGTTTGATTTCCCTGAAGGTCATCCTGATTTCTTCGATCGTTGTTGGAGTGACATCTATAGGAAGGTCTGTAGGTGCTGCTCTGCTATCCAGTGGGATCAGTTGAACTTGTCTGTTCAAAAGTTACTCTAACTGTTTGACACATCTGTTCCCTTGTTCTTGAGTCTCAATGATTGACTTGCTCTGTTTGTTTTGGACTGGTCGCTTCAGTTTGTTGTATTTCCCGCCTGTTTATTCGTTGTACCAAATAGATTTCACAGATTTCCTTCTCTTGCAGATTTTTCCGCCATCATTGCTTGATCTTCCGCATATTTCTGCTTGTCAGCTCTACTCCTCCACTTCACTGGATTATTTGCTTCCGTGTATTCGGCCTGTGCCTTTGGTTTTATTTGCTCTCCTTCCGTTGTTACTAATTGTTGTCTTTTTGTTCATTCTTTCTTGAATCCCGCACAGGGTATCGGTGGTACCTCTTGAGTGCCAACATCTGATATCGCATGCAATTTAGTGCTAAATTGGTCGATTCTTAGTCGTTCTCCACTGTACTTTCTTCTTCTTTTGGTAGATCTTGTAAGGCTTTAAACCTGTTGTTGAGAGTTATCCTGAATTCGTTGAATTTGTTAGTATCTCGAAGGAAGGCTATATTGAACCTTTGTAATGTTGTTTCCTGCGCACTCCACTATGATCGATTCCAGACTCCCATGAAAATGATCTTCATCATCCTTATGAGTATAGTTGGTGGGTGCATAACATTGGAAAACATTCATTGTGATTTCGTGACTTCCGAAGAACCTCGGCTTTCATCATGGGGTGGCCTTATTCTCCTGAACGAGGATCCTTCAACTCAGAGAGCACAATTTAAATGGTTTAATTTGTTTATTCTGGATGGTGTTCTTTTAGCAGGATTGGATTGTTAATCAGATACCCAGCTCTCCATGTTCACTCGAAATCGGAAAAGTCAGTTTTATTATTATAGTAGCGAATATAAATGTATTAATATCTAAGAAGACCATTATTCCACATAACTACACAGTGAACGAAACATGCTCATTTGAATCTGTTGATCACAAGGATTTACGAGTTGAAGTAATGTGTAACTGTAAGATGAAGAAGGAACAAAGACTCCAAATATCACCAGTTGTTCTCAAGGCTTTTCGTAAGCGAAGTCAAGTGACAAGAACCTGATGTATTTTCGGGCATATTTTAAAATATAGGATTTAGGGAGTGTAACCACAAAAATTCCTGTATTTGGTCAGAACATAGTATTTAGGAAAAAAAGTTTATTCCATTAGGTCAAACTACGTTCATCTGTCTAAACTACGAATCGTTTTTGAGAGACTCGATAGAATTATATTGGAATACAAACTCCGTGCCAACTTACACGGTTCAAACTTAAGAATCTAAATTATTTCAGAAGTATGAAATATCTCGAACGGTATAGCCTGTGCGATACAGTTAATGGCTTCATTGGCACAAAATAACGTGCTAAATAGCTAAAGGAATGGCGGGATCGTGGACGCATGCTGCTGAAGAGTCCCATACTGGAACGAAACGGTCGTCTAGTGCCCCCAGGTTTTCCATGGTGGTCTAGCTTCAATAGACTCACGAATTCAACTATTAACTTAATAAATAAAAGTTCGATGGCTAAGAATCGATAAAAAACTTTCCAACAAGATGGTATCAAATATCTATCAGCAAGGATACCAGTAATATTTCCAAGGAGACAACCAAACGTTGACAGCTATACATTGAACCACGCCACAACCCTGAGTTTAGTAAAACATGATCTTAATTTTAGTGGTCCGGCAGTAGTAAAATTAGCTTATAAAATGTTAATCTTTAACCGATGTCAAGTAACAAAAGCCCAGACAAGGGAGAGAGAAGAACATAAGGTGTAGTTATAAGAAACATGTATAAAGCTTATATTACAAGACAGGGAAATGGAATAAATAAATGACAAGACTGTCCAGGAAAATGCTTTCGAGAGGTTTCCAGCATGTTTTTTACATCACAGGAAGTGTTTTTATTTCAAATATGAAGCATTTCTATATACGTTTTAACCGACTCCATGAGGAAGAATGAATATGGTGACAAACGTTCCTGATTTATCTTACCAGAGCACGTTCAGATGTACCAACTCATTTTCAAAACCTTAGAGTATCTAACTGTATACTGAATAATAATTTTAATTTGAATATGTCCCCTTATTTTATATGAAACTGGCCATTTGAGAGGATATTCAAAAAAATGCAGTATGATCGCTCATCCCTGGCGTTTTCTCTGACAAACCGAATAGTGTAAACATGCTACAGATATTTAAGGTTTGATAGTGTTTCTGTTCATAGCACCTAAATGCAGCCAAATCAAGAGTCAGGATTTATTAGGTTTGAAGACAATATTTGTAAGGTTATCGATGTGTTCAGAAGCCAGAACAAACATGGATACGAAATTATGTTAATTCATTACATTTCCTGGTTCCTCATCATCTGCTTACAACCAAATATACCTTGAAAGTTAGCACTGAAGTAAGATATAGTGTGAAACAATTAACATAGATGAATGAAAAAGGTTGTAATGACAAAGGCTATCAATAATAACTATATATATATATATATATATATATATATATATATATATGTTCAAGAACAGGTCGGAGGTCATTTGGTGTTGGAAATATAAGGGTTAGGTGATGCATCAACTAAGTGGAGTCCGTAGACAGATAAGATAGATTGTTTGGAAATTTCAAAAGTTATGAAGAGTTTATATAAGATCCCAGCAAGTAAAGAATTGATAAGATGGCTTACATAATAAGTGAACAGGATTTGAAGAATCTACATGAGTTTTGAGAATCAAATGAATGAATATGTATGAATGGATGAGTGGTTTCAATGTACGTGAAATAAGAATTCGGCAAGGGAAGACTATATAACAAGTAAACAGTAGAAAATTAATGACAGTGTAGCGGTAAATAAATTCCCAAAATAAATAGCTCTGTAAGTCTTCGACATTGGATGCTGACCACATTACTTTTAATGGACTCACCTAGCTGAATGCGCTCGGTGATGCATCCGCACCAGATCACGAGTGGGAACGCCGCGCTCAACAACCCCTGCAATCGCTAGCCAGATTAGATCAGACGATCCTCGATATATTGATGGCCTATCAAATATATTTTCGAACCTCCTCGCTTCTGTCATTTGATTTCACTAGGTGGGTACGCTTCATATTAGGTGTTACTGGTTAAAGCGTTGTCAAACTCCTAATACTTGTGGCATCTTCAAAAAAGTGTAATTATCAGGCTAATAGTAGGTTCATAACTGTATCGTTTTGGATACTTAAGCCAGGTTTGAGTCTTTCATCACTGTTGCTTCAGCAATCCGAAGAGACGCTGTGATTGCTTGTCTGTTAACCATTTTGAAAACCATAGGAATGTCAGTGATGCCCTTGTTCTCAAGTAAATTTCAGGCTAAAGCACCGGTAAGAGCATTTGCTTCTCAGTCTCAAGTTCTTTGGAACATGCTAAGAAATGTGAACATGTATATATGCTGAGAAGTATTTAATCTAGAATGGCTAGTAATTCCAAAGGACGAGTAGCACAGCAAACCCAGTCACGATTTGATGCGCCTTCAGCTATGATGTGTTCAGTAAAATTAATGGGGTCAACATAAATCAATTAAACATCTAATTATCGCCTCTTAATACGAAGAGGTTATTGACCAACTTCCTCATATCTCAACAAAATATAGCCGCCACACAAAAAGCTTTCAGTGAATACTTGTCATGCTTCTCTTTTGAAAAACAGACGAGTTAACCTCTCGTGCCGAATCCAATTCTCAAGTTTCTTTTCTTGTTTAACTGTGTCCATTTTGCTAACTTGGGTCACTAAGCCCTGCTCTTAACTACTACCGTGAAGTTTGATTTCAATGCATAATGGATGATTTGCAAACATCTGAGGAGGTAATTCTTTGTATCACCGTAACTTTTAATTATTAGACAACCTTTGTCTCAGATGAAGTAAAAAACATAGTTAAAGAGGTGCGAAAGGTTTCATAACTCAAATGTTCAACAAATCTTTAGAGTATTGAAAGCATCATTGGTTCTAGTTCCTATTCACACAGTAAGGTACAACAGTGGACTTCATCCGTGATTGAACAATGCCTCAGTCAGTTGACTAAACTTGGAAAGCCTTTTAAGTACATCGGTATGTCTGATGAAATTATGTTTCAACCTTTTTCAGTCACCTGTGTAATCATGCAGAAAAGTGGAGCCGGACTACATACTGCAAGTTCTTGCTATTGGGATAGTTCTACTGACGGTAAGCGCAGTGTTTTGCGACGTAAATTATTTTAAAATGGAATATCCTGACTTGTGCTTTGGGATCAAAACCCAGGTGCCTTTGTCTATCACCTTCCGGCATATTTTCGTGTTTGCCTAGTCTATATAATAGGTTAGCTATGGAAAATTACACTCGGTAGAGGTCTATATGAGTTGACTAATCTATCCAGAAACCTATGTGCTCCTAAGATTCTGTTCTTGGCTTACGAACTCGCCTGCTATGTCCGGTGAGTCATTCTAACGTAGTCAGAAGAAACCGACGAGTTACAACTTCAATACCATTTCTTAATATTCTACGCATCCCAGTTATATCTCTTTCTTATCTGTGGTGGGAGATCGTAAGAAACCCTATCATCTCGAGCTCGTTATGAGTTATGCAAACCATCTCTCAAAACTGCACTGGTATCGGTCTTCTTGTATTTCTCCCAAGAGATCCAGATTTTCTCCCAAACAATGCTTATCCACTTTTTAGGTCGCATTCTATCGGTAGTGTGTAAATGATGTTAGAGATTTCGCTTCCTATTCTCGTGAGTTAGCTGTACCACCTTTACTGTTCTAAAACCTTTAGCTAAAACTGAACAGTGAGTCGCAGTTTTGACTTACTGTAGTTTTTAAGTCATTGTAAGTTAAGAGAAACCCTAAGGATGGATCGCCAGCTTTTTAGTTAATGCTGTTTGTGTCCGATTCACACTGAAACACTTGCATCGATAGGTGTTCACTGTCTCCCTGTTACGGTCGAGGGTGAGGAGTCTGCTCCCCCTCTCGAAATGCTTTCATATGACCACGTGTATACAGCCAATGACAGGTAAGTCTTACTCACTGCCTTCTCGCTGCACTATTGTTGTTTACGAAATTGAGAGGACGAAAAACTGGGTTAGTGGATATGGAGGATCCACCTAAAAGAGCTGGAAAACCCTGTTTTCAAACCAATGGTGTACGTGCGCTTCGGGATCCTGAAGGAACATGTGGCGTATGGACCAAATGTTGGCCACCATGGGACCGTATCTCCTCACGTCGCTCCACTGCCTTGTGGATTAGACCTTTGCGTCGAAGGCTCAGGGTGTGGCACCAAGAAAACCACCTGCTCTTGTCTGGGCACCCGGGCAGCATCACAGCACATGCACAAGTCAAGTGACTTGTGTGGTGCATATGTATTCGGTGACCCTTTGTACCAATATTTGTGTTCAAATAAATAAACAGTTCACTCCCAGAACACTTTAACAATACGTAGAAGTTAGTCTAGACTATTCTTACATCTTCATCTGGTGCTACGTCGCTGTGTTTTGATGTTATCAGAAGGAAGTGGCATTAAAGATACGGTGATATACGGAAGTTCATCGACATAAAAGATCAACAAAATATGACCTAGTACAGAGCCCTGTGGTAATCCACTAATTACTTGTTTCAAACAGGTTAGTTAATGAGTACTTTCTCGACAACCAATAAGAAAATCTTTGATGCACTTAAGCAGGTATCAGCTCTCTATGTTTGGTAAAAACCTGTCACACGGAATCTTGTCGAGTGCTTTGCTAAAGTCCACGTAGATTACACTTAGTGATATTTACTATCTAAAAACTGTAACGGTGAATAGCCTGGAAATAAAACCCCATTCCTTCTAACCTTGAGAGATATGCATGCGTTTGTTACTTGTAATTTTGATAGATGTATGTAAAACCGAAAGGTAAATTAGAAATTTATCACACAATGTGAAAGTTTTTTGAATGACTCATTCGAGATGAAACATAACATTAATTAGTATATGATTAGCATACATGTGTATCTCTTAAGCCAATACTGCCAATTTACGTCCTTTTTCAGAAAATGTTCATCATTGTGCCTTGTGGTGGACAAATCTCTCTTGGGTCAGCTCACTGTAATTGTATTTGATCTTAGGGTTGGAAAACAATAGCTGGATGTCGAAATGCGGGTCACAAGAGCAACGTTATTTAGACCAGTGAATCTTGTCTTGTTGCAATGGTTCTTTAACACTTAATTCTACCTATATTTTTAAAAGTCAGTCCTTCAGTAAATTTACGGACTACTCATTACCATTGGTGGCTACTCTCTACTTCATGTTATCCGGAGCCTTCGTTTTACAGAATTGATGTCAACTTTTAACTAAATCGCTATACACTATATTATGAAAGGTTCTTTAAAAACATTTTATGAGATTCCTAATGACATCAAGGTAAACCTTGACTGAAAATAATGTATGGGATAACCACTCTCAAATCCTTCCAAGTTCAGACACAATCACGAAGAAACTCATTGTCATAAAACGGGTAGATACTTTCCGAAAACAAGAACCCCTTGCCAAAACTCCACCTTAACTAACCACAATTCAGTTTATATCTACCAGCTAATGTTGCAGCCATTAAATAGGTTTTTGTCGGTGTTAGTCAAAGAAAGCACTTAGTAGAGTAACAATGCAAAAGGTGATTGTTGATACTAGTCTGTTGGCAGATAATTCTTAAGATAATTAAAAGGGCTTGGGACTGGCCACCTTTCCTGTATCGACTGTATTTGTAATCTTCACCTGGGAGCCTCATAGAAAGCTTATTTGTAACATTAAGCTAACATTATCGTTAATGCTACAAGTTCTTACAAAATTATTCAGCCAAGGAGTTCTAGTGTATTTCTTATGTTGTAAGAGATAGAAAGACATTAATGGACTGTATATTCACGGACAAAATTCTTCAATTTAGTTCCGTCTAGAAGTTTAAACGAAGCTTAGAGATTAAATTTGCAAATTAAGTCAAAGTATGACGTGGATTTTTCAGCGCAAAGATCCACCGGTTTTATGACAATCTGCTACGTATCCAATATTAACATTCATGCTAATCATCACTATTTCGTATTTTTTTTCAGGGAGTTGTACAGTAAAATGGGAAAACAAGTCTATGTATTTCATTGTTACAGTGTTTGGCTTAGCGATATAATCCTTTTCGACCAACGAAATAGTTTTAAAACTATTAATCAGATTGTATGAAGACCGTCTGCGTTCTAAACAACTTGTGAGCATTCGTTTTTTGGGTTTGAACGTGGTATCTGGACTTTATCTTTGTTGATGCAGTTTACTTTACTTCCGTATCTTCACTGCTCAGCTGAGTTATTACGTTGAATAAACAGATCAAGTATCATGATTATTTCTCTGTAATTGTTATATATCCATTTACATCACTACTTTATGTATTAATAGGGCACAAGTTATAACAAATTTAAAGACGTGTTAAGTAATAACAGCACTCCGTGACTTTCAGTTAGTATTGTAACAAAAGTATATCGCCTGTTTTGTGATATTCAGAGTATTTCTGCAGATACTATGTTCCTTTGTATATCGCCTCTGCTAATTCCATAAGTGCTTTTATTTACTATCTCGAGTTACTAATATCCGCAAAGAAATCAGTGGATACCTCCCTGTTTACCTGGTAGTATGGAAAAATAGCGCAACGGCTACTGGTGCTTCAAAGAACTAAGGTCGTTGTTCGAAGCGCCCTCTGTTCACTGTGACGTTTGAAAGAATGATAAGTTGGTATCTTGTAACCACCTTTGAAAAGATGTCTTAGTCACTAAGGCATTAATCCTGCTACCAGCTGAGCTGAAATATTAATTTCCACCATATTGCGCTAATTATGCGAAAAAAACGTGATCGATGCAGTGACCAGATGTTCACTTCCCGCTTGGTTGCTATCAGGTGACTTACAGATCGGCTAGCGTCCCATAATTTGATGTTGGAGTTGTTCCTGATCAGTCGCACAAAGACTGAATATTAGAGGAAGGTTTGTCTGGTGTTTTGGCATTCAGAAAGTTCCTCGTAGCAAATGTATGGAGCATAGTGATGGCATTTAACCAGTAGGAGTTAATCTAATCCCTCCATTAATCTTTGGCTTACCCATACATAATATTTTGGGGACAACTCTAGAGGAAGAGTACAGTGGTGTCACAAATGTGTTGTCTAAATATAAACTTCGGCATTGATTTTTTTTGTCTGACTGCGTGATACCATATAGGTCACAAATCAAAATTGGTCAATAAGTGCTCAGCGTCCGTATACGACTTGGCTTGAACTGTCACAACGCAAAGTACTAATGTAGTGAACAGAACACGGGTGGGAACAATCGAATGTATTTAACACAAAATTACAGGACTTGTTAACAAAATCTAGCAATCATAAAGTAAATGTTTAACTTGCAAAATGTCCACCAATTGTCTCAAAATGACTTATACTTCATTGTTCTTGCATTTTCACACAAATTGCATTCTGTTTCGATTCTTTACTGTTCGATCCTCTTGTCTCTCTGCTGCCAGACCTATTCAAGTCTAAATCACATACTACTTATGTCAATATAAGTAGCACACACCACACTACTACGACAGGAAAGTCGATGTTGGAAGCCTTACGTGGTTCGCCAAAAATAGTCGAGGATTTCATATGTTCGAGCATTAATTCTTTTATGACAGGCGCCAAGTCATGGAGACCTGGTTATTTTTTATACCACACTACAAAAGGTGGAATAAACTGCCATGACGTACGGCAACTCTGTCGTATATTATGGGAACTTAGTTTGTTCGATCCGAAAATGCTAGATATCTTTCTGTACTTAACACCGTCCTCCAAAGGAATTGTCGCATCCCATGACAACACTATGCAAGCACTGATGAGGTCTGATAACGTGTTTTCGGTAATAATGAAGACGATAAAATTATTGTTAACTTCTCAAAACACCCGTTTTGGTGACTTAGACATAAATACACATACTGTGTCTTTAACATTGTTGTTTACCGTATAAATACCGTTACTTAACAAAGCGATGGATCTTGCAAAGTAGATTAACTAGACAGTACCAGTAATGAATGGACACACGTAGCAAGGGAACCAAAAATAATTTCATAGACTCTGGACAGAACTGCGACGACCATGACGCTTTTTCTAATGAAACGTAAATCCTAAGGAACTTTAGATCTTGTAACCAGCCAGTAACAAATAAACTAAATAGCCTTAGATTTATTATCCACAGTACTGAATACCAACCGTATTGTTTAAAATGATTAACGTTGCCACCATGCTGACAGTATTATACGTCAAATTGAATTTAGACCACAGTATCAAATATATAGCTTGAACTAGAGGGAAGGTGTTGTATGCTAAAATACTCTGTGCTAAAGTAATACTAAGGAACATGAATACGTAAAAATACATTACTATCTAGTAATTAAGTAGCAATACAAATACCATTCACGAGGTAATACTTTAATCATGAAACAAACTAAAGACTAATTGTGTATTTACGTTTGCATGATTACAGGCAATGTGTAGCGTTGGAAGATTGCTCTGTCGCTTTTCTGTGAAATCTGACTTTTAAGTTGTTAGATAATAGTACGAATTTACGGCAACAATCTAAACAAAAAGTGGTAAACTAGTGCTATTTCCAACTCAGATCTTACTCAACCATCAGTTTTAAAGTATGTGGTGATGAATGTACACAGTGGCCTAGTTATACACAAAATCAGGTTTGGATATAAAAGAAAAGCCTCAATGTGAGTTATTTATCTACCACAGACCATATATTTAATTCATGACAGTGAACTTCATTGGTTGACTGACCAACGGAGTCAGGAAGAAAACCATTGTTGTCTTTAGTACTAGACAGATTAGGATAGCTCTCCAACAACCAATCTATTGTATTTTTCTGTTTCCCCCGGTACGCCTGAAAACAAATGAAAATATCTATAAAATAAACAAGTCCGCGGAAAATACACAATAAGATAATGGTGTTAATATTTGATCTTAAGTAACACGGATTCGGGAAGTACATTTTAGCAGATGGAAGTACTAGGATACAAGTGAATTATTGAACGTAATTAAGCTTAAGTCAAGCACTTATTATTTTAAACATCCACATTCAATATACAACAAGAGGTGGAAAACATAACTAAACAAAGACCAGGAAATTTACACGAAAATCGGTATTGCAACACTAAAAATAACTCAATGGCTCTAACAGTACGTTTAAAATGTAAAATACTTTAGGAAATAAACCTTGAATAAAGGATATAGCTACTTACGTGATGCAAGCAGTTCCTACCATAGTTATCACGAGATTCTAAAACTGGTGCTCCTCCTTTGCCGACAAGCAGTTTTAAAATATTAAGATGTCCTGCATACGCTGCTCGATGTGCAGGTGTAGCCCCGTCATTTCTTGTCTTGGCGAAAATATCAGCCCCAGCTTCTAATAATACATTACAAATATCTATATGATTATTTCTAGCAGCATAATGCTAGTAAATAAGATATTGCTTTTAACTTACCAGAGCTGTGTACCCATAACTGTCTGGTATATTAACATTTATATGTTTATCTAACAATTTCCGAACGCGATCAATATCACCACGTGTGGAAGCACCCCAAATCCCTCTCTCAAAATCCATTTCACTTAAATCTTGGTGGGTTGATTGGTGAAAAACTGTGTGACCCGTACATGAATGTGAGCTTTCAGTCATTCGCTTCTGAACTTGATCACTTTTGAGGTAAAGCTGAAAGTTAGTGAAAAAAATAACCAAAAGGATTAAGTTCCCCAAGAAACAATAATACTTTGCACAGTCAAATCAATTATCGTTCATGAGGCATGAAACATCAATGCCCTGGTACGGCCGAGAGTGGGGAGAGTCCCCTCTCCCTCTCGAAATACTCTCACACGGCCACGCGTATACAGCCTCTGCCAGAGAAGTCCTACACATTGCCTTCTCGTGGCGGGGGTGTTGTTTACGAAAATGAGAGGACGAAAAGCGAATGTCCGGCGCTTTAACCGGATTCCAAATCAATGGTGCACATGGGCTCCAGTATCCTGCGGGTACGAATGGCGTATGAACCAATCGTTGGTCACCGGCTACCATGGGACTGCATCTCCTTACGATGCTCCACTGCCTTGTGGGTTAGACCTTTAGGTCAAAGGCTCGGGGAGTGGCCCCCTAAGAAAACCACCTGCTTCGGTTTGGGCACCCGGGCAGTATCACAGCCCACACACAAATTGATGAACTCTTTATGCCTATGGAAATTACCTTTCTCGCTTTGAAAAACAAACAATTGATTCAGATTATTATCATTACAATTATTGTCATTATTAATACTAATATTATTATTACTACTATTATTGTCATTATTGTTATTATTATCATTATTATTATTATTTTCCACATTATTCACCCTCTTTTATACTTATACAGCGGCTCGTCTTTGGTGGAAATTCGACTGTATCTAAACGTTCTCCAGTCACTGTCCGGTTGAAAATTGTATGTTACCACCGAATACGAGGACTGAAGCAGTTTTTCTGAAACCACGTGCACCATTCAAACTGGCTGCCTTCAACGTTCGCACATTTATGCAGGTCGGACAACAGATAGGGCTGGCTATGTCTTTGGAAAGTCTTAATATCGACGTGTGTTGTCTATCCGAGACCCGTACTCAAGACTCTGGCGAAGTACTACAAATTCGATCTCCATCTGTCGCTTCGAAAAGCTTGTTTTACGTGCGCTTATCAGGGGACCCTGTGGCATCTTCGTCTGGTCTTGCAGGCGTTGGTGTCGCACTAAGCGCTAGAGCTGAGGCAGCACTAGTCGATTGGATCCCCATTAACAGTCGGTTATGTGCTGTCAGATTAGAAAGTTCCATCAAAGTGAGAAGAAATCGGCGTGAGAAACGATGTCTTTTCGTCATCTCCGCCTATGCCCCGACAGATTGCAGCCCGGATGCAATCAAGGATGAGTTTTACCACCAGTTATCAGTTCTTCTCCAGAAAGTGCGTTCGACAGATATTGTAGTACTAGCCGGAGACTTGAATGCTCAGGTCGGGCGTCTAGGCACAGAAGAGAGTCGTTTAGGTGGCCGATGGGGACTCGTTGGTCGCAGGTCAGATAACGGGGACCGTCTACTGCAACTTTGCACAGACCACAACCTGTTTCTGGCTAGCACTAACTTCCGGCACAGTCATCGCCGATGTGCCACCTGGCGTCCTCCCTCTGCATCTCAAGCCTGGACTCTGATTGATCACATCGCGATCAGCTACCGCTGGCGTGGTTGTGTACAAGACTGCCGCTCCTTTTGGAGTACCTATCTGGACTCTGACCATGCCTTGGTCTGCGCCAATCTTGCCTTACTTTTCAGTGGACAACGAAGTGACCACCGCCAAAAGATTGATGTTAGCAAGCTGGTTGCAACTTCTGTTGCAAGTAAGTATCGAACCGAGCTAGCCTCTAGGCTAGCTACCACTCCACCGAAAAGTATAGATGAGCATTGGTTGCAATTGCATGACGCCATGAAAATGGCGGGAACAGTCAGTTGTGGGTTTGCGAAACGTCCCGCTTTTAAGCACTGGGTTTCTTCAGGCTCCTTACAACTCATTGAAGCCCGTCGGTCTACTCCGGGTGACCGTGAGTTTGACCATAGACGAAGGATCCTACGTAAGGAAATTGGACAAAGCTTGCGTAAGGACCGAGAAGCCTGGTGGTCGATGCGTGCTAATGAGCTGGAAGCAGCAGCTGCATCTGGTAACTGCCGGAAGCTCTTCCAGCTCATCCGAGCCACTGGCAGCAAGAAGTCTGGTGTGAGTGAAACAATCTGCGAGGATGATGGGATGCCAATCACTAACATCCATCGACGTCTTGGACGATGGGCAGAATTTTTCGAAGGGCAGTTCAACTGGCCTGCTGCTCCGGCAACATCGGTCAGACTGTCCTGCCCTCCATGGCCGGTGACGACTGATCCACCAAATGAGGCGGAAGTCCGCAAGGAACTCCAACTCTTGAAGCGTTACAAATCACCTGGCCCAGATGACTTACCTCCGGCTCTTTTTAAAGATGGTGGTGACTTTTTGACTAAGGAATTGACGACGTTGTGTACAAAGGTTTGGGAACTAGAGAGTGTACCAACGTCATGGAATGAGTCGATAGTTGTCCCTATCTTTAAAAAGGGTTCACGTCGTTCTTGTAACAACTATCGGGGGATAAGTTTACTTCCGATTGCGTCCAAGCTATTGGCTTCCGTCATTCTTCGTAGGTTGTTCAAAACCCGAGAAAGATTGACTCGCGAGGAGCAGGCTGGGTTTCGTTCTGGTCGAGGATGTATTGATCACATCTTCACCCTCCGCCAAATGTTAGAACACCGCCATACTTTTCAAAGGCCAACAATCGTAGTGTTTCTTGATATCAGGGCTGCCTTCGATTCGTTGGACAGAACTGTTCTCTGGGATTGTCTATTGAAGAAGGGTGTGCCTGAGAAGTTTATTAACATCCTAAAAGCCCTGTATAAAAACACCTCAGGCAGAGTGAGGGCATACAACCACCTCTCTCCATTGTCCTATTCGAGCAGTGGGGTTAGGCAGGGTTGCCCAATCTCACAATTCCTCTCCAACTTTGCCATCGATGACATTCTGTAAACAGCTCTGATGAATGTAAGTAATGGTGGTGTGGATCTGTTGCCTGGAGAAAGACTTCTCGACCTTGAGTATGCGGACGATATTGTCTTACTGTGCGATAATGCCCAAGGCATGCAATCCGCACTTAATCAGTTGGCAATCAGTGTCCGTAGGTATGGTATGTGCTTTGTACCTTCGAAGTGCAAAGTACTTCTACAAGACTGACAGGATTCTAATCCTGTACTCACCCTGGATGGTGAGCAGATAGACGTAGTCGAGAAGTTCGTGTATCTGGGTAGCTGCATAAGTGCTGGTGGGGGTGTGAGTTATGAGATCAGTGCATGTATAGTGAAAGCCAGAGGGGCTTATGCCAATCTGGGCCACCTTTGGCGCCTTCGTGATGTTAGTCTGGCTGTAAAAGGTCGGATCTACAACGCGTCGGTGAGAGCAGTTTTGCTCTATGCTTGTGAAACCTGGTCTCTCCGAGTTGAGGATGTTAGACGACTCTCTGTGTTTGACCATCGTTGTCTCCGAAGAATTGCTGACATCCAGTGGCAATACCATGTCAGTAATGCAGAGGTTCGGCATTGTGTGTTCGGGCGCAGAGATGATAATCCAATTGGTGTCACCATCTTGAAACACCGACTTCGGTGGCTCGGACATGTTCTCCGAATGTCGTCCCAGAGAATCCCGCGTCGTGCATTATTTGCCGACTCTGGGACTGGTTGGAAGAAGCGAAGAGGTGGTCAGTGCATGACATGGTGTCGTGGCATGAAAGAAAGCTGCAAAGGACTGGCTTCTGTTGGTCCTTCACGACTCCCTGGCTGGGGTCCGAGAGATGGTGCTACACAGTGGCTAGAGACGTTATCAGATATGGCTCAGAATAGAAGCCAGTGACGATCCTGCTGTAACCTTCTTCTACTTTCTTCATAAAAAGTGGTTGTGTCTCCTTTACCTGAAAGATTTCTTCTGATTGTACCTTTTCATTCCGTCGTTACTACCACACTACCTTACTCCAATCTCTTCGTCATTGTTCTCTTTTTCTTTTGCGTTCCTTAGTTTTTTTTTCTTTCTTTCTACCTCTCTTCGAATTCTCATTGTTTTGTGTGGCGCATATATATTGGCGCTCTCTTGTACCAATATTTATGTGTTCAAATAAATAAATAAACAGTAAACAGACGCTATGAATGGTAAGCAGGCCCCCCATTCCCGACCGTAGCTGCTACCTTGATACGGTAATCGGGCTTGCCTGTCGTGATGACTCAGCTGGGCTATATTGGGTGGAACACGTGTTTGTTTAGGTCCTACTAACCCGACAGGTCGGCCGGAGAACGGTTAAACTAAAAACCGCAACTTAAGATCCGAGGGCGAAGACATACTGCTGCATGTAGATGGGTGTGACAGCAGCAAAGTGTTTCCCTTGGACAGCCAGCATCTGCAGAGATGGTGCCTTCTCACAATGGAAGGAAGAGGTTGGAAAATGTCACACCTTAACCCACGGATTTCCGTCTCCGACGGCAAAACCATAAGGCAGTACGCAATCGGCCTCAAGCACTTTTCCCCTGAACTCTGCAGTCACGCTCACAGGTCGCTAAGACCACCACTAACTCAGCTTCTTTTCCAGGCCCCTCAAGAAGAGATATCTTTCGACACTTGGCAACCGGGAAGTGTGGATCGCCATCATACCTTTATTAACACCTGATATCATCTTGTTGATGCGTCATATAGTAATGAAATGAAACAAATTTAATGAATCATACTATGATGTTTGTATAAATGCTGTCATTGGTAAAATCACTAGAACGTTGTTGGGAAATCTTCTGGCCGTCGATATGTCATTTCGACGGCCATTGTCTCGAATTTCCTCTTGGAAGTATGGACAACCTTTGAACAAATCTTGATTGATCTTGAGAAATACTGGCCAATCAGGAAACAGCCAGTTTAGAGTAACAATATACTATACAAAACCAAAGAAATAAAGTGGATACACGTCTTATACATAGTTCAAATACTTGTCAAGATTAGAAAGAGGTTCTAAAATCGTAATTCATGCAGTAGATGAAACCATCCATATGGCTACAGAATAGTCGACCTCTGGAGCCATGATAAAGTCTCAGGAACTCT